AGGACCCCACAGTTCAACCCTGAGCTAAAGAGTTTCTCTCTTCATTGTAACTGACTGACTTGGTTAAACAATTGTATGGAAAGGCAAGGCAGGCAAAGGGGGAAAGAGAGGTTGCCGGTTGGGTTCCTCTCCCCAGGCCCTTCGCCGTGCCTGTTTCACCACTACCGGTCCTGTGAGGTGGTCCAGGGGGCTGCCTCAGCTGATGTTCAGATTTTTTTTTAAAGTTGCATCTTGATGCCAGCTGGCTGAGAAAGATTTTTTATTCCGAAAGGCAGATCTAAAAATAACAGCCGAAGAACAAAATCAGACCTGCGGAACAAATATCTGAGCATCCTTCGAAGAATGGAAGGCTGTCTGGCTTTGCGGGGATCCAACTGTTTTTCTTCCGCCGCCCTTCGCTTTGCTTAAAGCCTTTTTTTGTGAGAGAAGCAGCCAGGAGGGAAAGAGAAAAAAAGGACCGAGAACAATGGGAGTCGCACACAGACACACAAATTCCTCTCGTCAGGACCCCTTCCAAGCTCATTGTTGAAATCCGGCAGCGTGTGCTTTTCCGCAGTCTTTGTGTGCGGTGTGCTTGCAAGTGCATACGTGCGCTGGTTTTTTTTAAAAAAGGAGATTAAATTGCAGAGAGGTGCGTTAAAAGCTTTCTTAGGCTTAACGTGTCTATTCTGAATTAAAAATCATCCCGGTTTCTCCTGACGCAAACAGGCTCGGTGATATTCCTTCTCTTTTGGAGGCCCCAATTAAATAGAATATTAAAGTTACACACACACACAGACACGCACCTCGCCTTTCTTCAGGAGCCCCGTCCGTTCGCTCGGTGTAATGTTGTGTGAAACTTCTTTTATACTTCAAGTGAAAACCTGTTTGGCTGGGGAGGCATTTTGATTCAGCTCGGTTTTATTCTTCTGTGTTGGAATTACATTGATTTTTGTAAAGGCTGCCTGGAGACGCACTTTGGAATAAAAAGGGCAGCTTCTAAATTCTCCAAATATAAGCGTTAATCGATGCGCAGTCTGGAAATCTTTCCCCAGGGGGGAAACGTGGATGCTTTCAGACAGATCTAGCCAGGAGGTGAGTCCCTGTTTTGTGTGGCTAGTTGTCCAGAAAGCGGGTTGGTCCTTGGGGGTCCGAGCTGGTGGACCACAAGGAACACAGGGGCCCCCTCTGCTGTGCCCCGACACTTTCCATTGGTGGTTTCACCGGACGTGTCCCGGCAACACAAGGGAACACAACGCACGAGGGGAAAGCAAAGACCCTCCAGGTGGAACCAAAGAACTGAGCAAGGTTGACCAAACTTCAGTGCTCTTTTGCACACCAAACAAGCAGCCATCACAATGGGGTCCTCTACAGGAAGTCCTGGACTTACAACAGTTCATTTAGTGACCGTTCAGTTATAATGGCACTGAAAAAGTGAACGACTTTTTCACACTTAATGATCATTGCATCGTCCTCATGGCCACCTGATCAAAATTCAGACACTTGGCGACTGGCATGTACTGAAGATGGTTGCAGTGTCTTGGAATCATGTGATCCCCTTTTGTGACCTTCTGACAGTCAATGGGGAATCTGGTTTCACTTAACAACCATGTGACCAACTCAACAGCTGCAGTGGTTCAGTTAAAAGCTGTCATGAAGGTGATGAAATGGGGCAAAACTTACTTAACAACTGTCTTGCTTAGCAGTGGAATTTTGGGCTCAATTGTGGTTGTAAGTTGAGGACTATCTGTATTAAATTCCGCCATTCAGTTCCAGAGGGTCTCAATGCCGTCTTCTGTAATAATAACCTTGGCTATAACAATCTTATTTTTTAAAAAGACTGAATTCAGACCCAAGGTGTGAAAATTCCCTGTCTGGGTTTCCAATGAATGAGATTTATTTTTATGCACCCCTGCCAATGGCCTGTTGCTGGAGGTTTCAGTCATGTTCACATTTTCCCTTCTGTTCTCCAGGCTGTACGGATTCATAAAGCCTTAGTAAGATCACACCTGGAGTCCTGCATCCAGGTTTGTTCACATTATAAAAAAGAGGTTGAGACTCTAGAAAAAAGTGCAGAGAAAAGCAACCAGGATGATTAGGGGACTGGAGGCTAAAACATATGAAGAACGCTTCCAGGAAGTGGACCTGGCTAGTCTAGTGAAAAGAAGGGAGCAGAGGAGACATGATAGCGGTCTTCCAATATTTGAGGGGCTGCCCCAGAGAGGAGGAAGGGGTCAAGCTATTCTCCAAGGCACCTGAAGGCCAGACAAGGAATAATGGATGGAAACTGAACAAGGAGAGATTCAACCTGGAAATAAGGAGAAACTTTCTGACAGTGAGAACAAATCAACCCATGGAACAGAAGTTGCCTTTGGAAGTTGTGGGAGCTTCATCACTTGAGACTTTCAAGAAGAGATTGGACGGCCATCTGTCAAAAATGGGGTGGGATCTGCTTGCGTGGGGGGTTGGACTAGTTGACCTACAAGGTCCCTTCCAGCTCTCTTATTGTTATTTCCTCCAATCTCCTGGTATGTTTTGTCTCTCAGACTTGCACCATTTTTGTTGCCAGTCTCTGGACTCGCACGTGTCTTATCAATATCTCTTTTTAAGTGAGCTGGGCATGGCATTTTAAATGGGTTGTGATTAAAGCCCCATATAGCGGGATAAGGACCCTTTTCCCTGCTGATTCTTTTAATGATACATCCCAGAATTTTGGTTGTCTCCACAGCTGCCTGGCCACGCCATTTGCTCATTTTGCAGTCGTGTGCTATGATCACCCTTAAATCCTTTTCTTTGGTTGTTCTAACACTGTGTTCCAAATATGATGCTACATTTAGAAACATTGAACTGCAGTTTCCACATTTCTGACAATTTCTTCAGCAATGCCAAATCATTTTCCAAGTTATGAATACCCCAGAAGTATCAGCTATGCCACACACCTTTGTATCGTCAGCAAATAAATAACTAAATCTTACCTAGCAATATTTTTGTTGTATCCCTCACACTGCACAGAACAGGACCTCGAACTGAGCCTTGTGGCATGTCGCTTGTGACTGTTCAGAAAGTGCCCCATTGATCACACTGGGATTTATCCCTGAGCCAACTTCTTATCCGTTGAAACACCCAGTGGCTAAGCCCTGGCTTGTACCATTTTTTAATGAGCTTGTTGCGTGGAACTATATCAAATGCTTTGCTAATTGTTTTCTAAAATTCCTCGTGTGTTCAGCCAAGTGAGGGATGCTTTTTTATCCATGCATTTGGCTGCAGTAAATCACCACGTTCTGTTCTCTCCTGCATTCAAGCCAAGCCCAAGTCGCAAATTGTGACTGTAGAAGCAGAAATAAATTGTTCCTCCCAGTTCTGCAATTAGACTGCTGTAAATCCAAACATACCACATTCAAGAAAGCATCGACTTCAGCAAGCGACAGAGAGCAAGCGATAAACTGGAACGAGCTCAGAATCAGAGAATCCACCAGGCCAGTCATAATTTCAGTGGAAAGGAAATGTGAGGTGGAGGAGGGAGGCACTGGGGGATTAAGAACAATAATTGTGGGCAACGACCAGGACACAAGGACACAAATAGTTGAGGTGATGGATGGATGAAGCACAGCAAATTTAACAGAATAACAACAGAATAGGAAGCGACCTTGGAGATCTTCTAGTCTAGTCCAACCCCCTGCTCAAGGCATTCCAGACAAAGGACTCTTCAGTCTCTTGACAACAATATCAGGGGATTGACAGGGGAGCTGCTACTTCTTAAGTTAGAGCCCTGTCTTCTCACTAGCACTCACACACCAAGGCCAAATCAACAGGATTAACCGAGTCAAAGTGAGGCACCAGGTTGGGGAGGATGGGTGATTTAATTCACATTTTCCTAAGACATTTTCAGTAGGAAAAAAGCTATATAAGAGTCCCTTGATAGGGCTCTAAATTGGCACTAAGTTTGGTCGCTTCTGTGCTCACTAAAATCTTCCGACTGCATTCGTATTTGCCCTTCATCATTCTCCATTTCCACAAATAAAACAGTGGGTCTCTCAGATCCTACTCAGCACTCAATCCAGGGGCTGTGTTTGCACAGTACGCACATTGTTGGTTAATTCAATGAATGGGTGTCTTGTGTGAACTCAGGCACTGAGATTCTTTCTACAGGTACATTTCCAGCACTGCCTTTTGTCCCAAGATCAGGGTGGCTTCAGTCCATCCTTCACACTAAGGTTGTTACTGCCACACCTGCTCAATCCCCTTTGCCCTGGGTTCTGGTTGGCACAAGGGCATGTGGCTCTCCTGACTGGATTCATGCCAAGCCGTTTCCTCCAGAGACTTTGGACTCTGCAGCCAACTACTCTCTATAGCTCCTCCTCTGTTCTTCCCAGGGTTTGGTAGTTAAAAGGTGGCTTTATCAAAGCTATCAATCAGGGTTGTCCCTTGGCAATGGGGCAGCGTGGGCAGCATGATCAAGTTCCAGGCTCCTTAGGGTAAAGGGTGCCCTCTGGGGGAGCATCATCGCACAGCCAAAGTTTACTATAATTCTTTTGCAACTGTGGTAAGAAAGGTTGTAAAATGAGGCAAAACTTATCAACTATTTTGCTTAGCCACAGGAACTTTTGGCTCAAATGTGGTTGTAAGTCAAAGGATACCTGCAATTCTTATTTCTCAATTCTTCCTGTTCCCTCAGTAGTTTTTAGCTACACTTAAGTCAACCTATGACTGCTAAATCTTTGGTACAGTACATTTGAATATCCAACATCACGGGCCACAGATCATTATATTAAGGAAATCTAGAAAAAAAAAGAGCAAGACTGTTTTGTTTTGAGACTGTCTATACTCTGGATTCTGTAGCATTTACTGTTTGGGCAGGATCAACCAGAAGAGCATCCAAGAATATGCACACAGACAGAATTTTACAACATGCTTAACTAGGCCAATCCTGCAATTCCACTACCGTTCTAAACTTGCTTATTGGGTTTAACATCACTGTTTTGTGCCCCTCATGTCCTGGAAACAGGCAAACTTTTTTTTTTCCTTTCAGCATCAACTACCGATCTCTTATCTGAAATTTTATCTCACAACTAGGAGACAAAAGTCACTTCATGAGCAGAGATGACATTACAATCTCAGCTTTCTTAGCTCAGCCCGTTAGCTGCTGTGACTGAACTTGAAACAGGTAAGCAGCAAACTGTCTGGAAAGTGAATGGAAGGCCACCAGAATATTCCAGGGCTGTAGGCTAAACTGGAAACTTGGAACACACACCCAACTTATTTTTGAGTGGTGCCCAAAAGACCAGATCTCACTTCAGCTCAGAAAATTGTGGTTGGATACTGACAACAGAATGCTAGAAAGCTAAGGCTTTAGGCTCCTAGGTTTTTGTTATGTTAATAAACGAGATGTGAGCCTGGAGAGTACTAAGAATTTTTTTTAATGTTATGATTGAATGCAAATAATCCAGCAGTATTGTCAACACAGTCACAGATAAAATTCCTGCCCCATGTAGGATCTCTGGAGCATCAATGCTTTCACAGATAAATGAAGAACCAGAGTTACATCAGCTAAAAAGGGAAAATGCTCTTCATGACATCTTTCACTTCCTCAGGCAACACTCAGGCACCACTTATGGAGGGAAACAGAAGGACTGGAGATAAGGATCAATTGTCTGAACTAGCAACAACCCTTTCATAGACCAAAGAAACCTTTTCAAATGTTGAAAAAAAAAACTATAAATAAAATATACTAAAATAGTACTGTTGTACAATCTTTTTTTTTTAACAATCAAATAACCTCAGCATTTTTCCAACCGTCTTTAGACATAATAAGCTGCACCTTCTGCATGTAGGGCAGTCAAGACCGTCTCATCTTTATGCTGTATCAAACAAGGCAATCTCTTCACAGGAAGGCAGATGCTTCGGTTACAGCAGGGGGCCTCCAAATTTGGCCACTTGTGGACTTCAACTCCCAGAATCCCCAGCCAGCGCATGGGAAGCCTACAAGTCTTACAGCTGCCAAGTTTGGAGAGCCCAGCGTTAAAACCAGAGAATATTATTAAAGAACAGAGCACCCTTCTCCTGTCACCATCAAATTTTGGAAGCAAAGGATACCTGCCCTTTCACAGAAGTAGATCCTAAGATTCGTGTAACATTCAATAGTCATCCCCTGAGGAAAACAGGCAAACGTCAAAGCTACCCCCTTGGTAAACAGGCAGATTCTCCACATCTCCCTCAACCAGGAAGGCTCTTCTTTTTTTAATCATTATTGCTTCAAGAACTCAAACAACCCACCAGAGCATTTCTTTCCTTCTGAAAGGAAAAAAGGAACCACATTGCCAGGTGCTGATGATCAACCTGACCCAGGCAGTTCCAAAATTTCAAGCCTCTTTTCTTCTACTTCCTTTAAATCAGCCTCTTTCCTTCCATCAAGTTCCTCAATTTTCCTCTCTCAACATGAAAAGCGACCAGTTTTCTTTGGCTCTGTAGGCAAGTAATTTACTCAGCTCGACTTGAGGCTTATAATTTTTTGGATTCTTCTCAAAAAGCTGAGGAAGGATGTTTTCCTGCATGGCTGGCCCCTCTCCCACCACCTCTCTTCCTTTTCGGCTGACTCTGGGACTCCGAATTCAGCGTTTCCAACCAGAAGGCATTGAAAGTCCCGGGGGCCTGGTAGCCTGGCTCCTGAGGATCTAGCGGGTCTTTGCTCAGCAAAACACAAATGGCAGGGATGTTTCTCTTCACGGTCAAGGGGTCCAGGCCAGCCTCGGGCACGATGGGTTCCCAGATCTCCTCTATTTGCTGAAAGAACACTTTGGTGATCTGGTGGAGGCCCTTCAGCCTCCGCTTCATGATCTCCACACAGGTGATGGTCTTGTTGATGGCTTTGCCGACTCCGCTGAAGAGCATCTGCCTCATCGTCTCTTGCTCCATCTTGCCAATGGCGTAGCCCATCAGATTCCGGATCTTGCTTCCATCCTTCACTTTCATTTCAATGATGTCTGAGGGCAAGTTGGTGAAAGGGAGGGGAGGAGGCTTCTCCACTACCTTGGACTTCTGGTAATTCTCCATGGTTTGCAGTGCTGTGAGGAAAGAGGACAGAAAAAGCCTTTCAGGGTCTAATTATGCTGTAGGATTACAGACGCAAAGTCGGGGAATTTACCCTGCTGAAAAGATCAAGGTTTATCTGGTCCCTTGTTCCATCTTCAAGGATGACAAAAAAAACAACCTTCAGACATGGGTCCATTGTGCTAGAAGGGACATGCTGCAGACCCTGTTGCTCAAGGCATTCCTGCTGGTGGGGTCCAGGAGAAGAGCTGTGGCTTCTGCCCACTGAAACATCCTCCCCCTTCCGTTCCCCAGTGAGATTTGCATCCTGCCCTGAAGATCTGACTCTGCCAACTGGCCTGAGTCCCAGATGGGGACATCCCATTCTGGAGATGGTTAATGTGCCAAGATCCCACCTTCTCCCCTTATTCCCTTCCTCCCCATCTTGCAATTTTAACTTCATTCTAATGTTAATATTTCTTATGCTTAAATGCTTTATTTTGTATTTTGATTATAAGCTGATTAGAGTCGGCTCTAGGTTAGATGGGTGGCATATAAGTTCAATAAATAAAAAAGGGGGAAGGAGATAACTGTACAATGAAACAATAATGACTAAAAAACAGTTTAGCAGAGTCAAGCCGGATCGTTTTAACTCAATCTAAGGTGCCTTCATCCCATGAAAGCATCCTTATCCCCGCCCTCATTCACCGCGCACAAGGGAAGGCTTCAGTCACCCATAAGCAACTAATGCACAACTTGCTTTCAGAAGTTGTGGGTGCCCCATCATCGGAAGCTTTCAAGAAGAGAACTTTGTCTGAAGTGGTATAGGGTCTCCTGCTCAAGCAGGGGACTGGACTAGATGACTTCAGAGGTCCCTTCCAAGTCTCTTGTTCTATGTCCTGTCGCTTATGTGCAGCAAGTGAACTTTAATTTCAAGTTGCTCAAAGTCACTTTGCAGATGGAGATGGGACAGAATAAAATTGCACTAAAAATACATACGTTTTATTTAGCCCCAGAGAACCAGAGAACTGTGCGCTGGTTTGCATTTGTAAGCATTCCTCATGAATATCTCATGTTCAACAATCAGCCCTATGCAAATCGAGAAGAAAATATTCCGTCATTTAAGCCATCAATTTTAATCAGTTGATGCTGATTAAAATCAGTGATCAATTAGTCAAACAGCCCCCACTCCTGCTGCCTCTCATTTCCTTTGGAAGAGGATGAGTTGCTGATGCCCTTTTAAATGTACTATTAGAGAAAGCTTTATAGGACAATCTTTGACTTACAACCCCTTGTTCTGTGACCATTTGAAGTTGCCCTGGGGAGGAAAAAAATGACAATTTTTCACACTGCAGCCTCCCTGCAGTGATCAAAATTCGGACTCTTGGCAACTGGCATGTATTTATATGCCACCCAAATGGACCCCAGGTGCTTGTCACATGATGGAGACGCCGAAAGATCCTGGGTGGAAGCCACAAGTGTCACTTTTGTGTCTTTGTGAGATCTTCTACAGGGGCACCTTAGTTAGGAAACCGTCCAGCTTCGCTGGGAATACAGATCGTCCTTGACTATCCAACCATTCATTTAGTGGCAATTCATAATTATAACGAAATCATGACCATTTTCACACTTACAACCACTGCAGCATCCCTCAGGGTTACCTGATCAAAATTCACCTGATACTTGGCAACTGACTCACAGTTACGACGGTAGGCGTGTTCCCCCTTTTGCGACCTTCTGACAAGCCAAGTCAATGGGGACAACCGGATTCACTTAACAACCACGTGACTAACTTAACAATGGTAGCGATTCACTTAACGACCGTGGCAAGACAGGTCGTAAAGTGGGGCAAAACTCACTTCACAATAATGTTAATTACTGTTTCAGATGCTTGGCAACTGGTTCACATTTAATAAAATGGGGCAATTCGCTTCACCACCTTTTGCAACCTTCTGACAAGCCAAGTCAACAAAGGGAGCCCTGGCTTACCAAAGGTAGTGATTCACTTAACAACCGCGGCAAGAAAGGTCGTAAAGTGGGGCAAAACTAGGTTAACAGCCTAGTTTTCAACCCCCCCCCCCCCCCCCAGAAAGTCCAGTTGCCTCTTGGGGGGATAAAAAGCACTTTTAGGACTTAGTGAAGGAAATTTTGGGCTCATTTGTGGTCGTAAGCTGAGGAATATCTATATTAGTGAATTATGCCTGTGAAATAATATTAATTGGTTACCTTTTGTGCATGTTATTCGGATTGCAGTGAAACAATTCACTAAAATTACCACAGTGAAATAATATTACTTTGACTGCCACGCTGTGCATATTATCTGGATCGCAATGATATAGTTCACCCACATTCGCGAATTATTGCGGTGAAAATAACTCACGAATTATTTATCCCATGATTGTCATGAAATAATATTGCAGATGTTTTGGTTGGTTTGAATTATATCCCCAATTTTTGCACCGAATGGTCTTCATTGGGGAGCCACTTTTTTTAGGGGGGGGGGATTTCTCTCAGGCCAGGCCGGCCCACCTCGCAGGGTTGTTGTGGGGAAAAATAGGATTAGGCCAATTTTCTACCTCGAGTTATCCCAAATATATAAAATAGAGGATAAAAATCTTATAAAGGGCGAGATAAAAATTAATAAATGAATAAAAACGCGCCTCAGGGCCGCGCGCCGAGCCGCGGATTCCCCTCAGAGCCGCTCAGGGATCCACTCGGGCTGGGTCAAAAACATGTGAACGCGGCCCCGGACGCTCTTCGCCCCATCAACGGTCCCCTTAGGCCTCCCATCATCCCCAGCCCGCATCTTCCCTCACTCACCGATGGCCACCGACGCCGCCGCGCGGCAACCAAAATGGCGCCCTCCAGGTTCCCTCAGCGGGGAAGAAGGTCCGCGCATGCGCCACAACGCAGAGGGCGGGAAAGACGCGCGCCTGCGCAGAAAGGGAGCACCGCCCTTTCCTTCCTATTGACCCAGAGGTGCTGTGGGCGGAATTCGCTCTCCAGGAAACGCCTTCGTCACGTGGCTTTGCAAGCCTGGCTTATAAAAAAAAAAAAAAGACTAAGCAAGGCTTGGTTGTTCTTTAACCAAGAAACGTGGTTTAACGTGGCTCAAGTTTTTTCCCCAAGGTCCAGCCGGGTTTCATGCTTTTGTTTGGGGATTGCTTATCGTGCGGTGATCGCTTTCATCAATTTTTTTTTTTTTTGCAGTCTAAAGGCTGTTGCAATTGTACTTTCTGTAAACACGAAAGGATGCAGCTCTTGCAATGCGGAATGATGGGGAAAGCCTTTGTTTTTCGAGGATGTCCGCAAACTGCAAAAAATATTGATGTTTTTATTCATGGAAGGACTCGGAAAGTAAATCAACTGTGATCTAAAACTTTGGGACTTTAAAAAAAATATTGGGTTTTTTTTTAATTTAACAGATAACAGATAATCAGAGTTGGAAGGGACCTTGTAGGTCATCTAATCCAACCCCCTGCCCAAGCGGGAAACCCTACTCCATTTCTGACCGAGAGCAGCCCAGTCTCTTCTTGAAAGCCTCCAGGGATGAAGCTCCCACAACTTCCAAAGGCAACTTCTGTTCTCTGGGTTGATTGTTCTCACTGTCAGAAAATTTCTCCTTATTTCCAGGTTTATTTATCATAGAAAATAAAATACAAAATTTTCTATTCCATATTCCATTCCATTCCCTTCTAACAGAGGCATCGAATCAAGATCACGTGAAGTATTAGTATCACTTTATAAAGCCTTAATAAGGCCACACCTGGAATGCTGAATCCATTTTTTGATCACCACATTATAAAAAAGATGTTGAGACTTTGGAAAAAGTGCAAAGAGGAGCAACTAAGATGATTTAAGGCCTGGAGACAAAAACGTATGAAGGAACGGTTGCAGGAATAGGGTTTGGGTGAGTATAAAGAAAAGAAGAATTAAGGGAGACATGATGGCAGTATTCCAGTATTAGAGGGAGTCAACCTAGAATTAGAATTAGAGTAGAGTAGAATAGAATAGAATAGAATAGAATAGAATAGAATAGAATAGAATAGAATAGAATAGAATAGAATA